GAATAAAGTCATAATATGGTATGTATAACATCAACATTTTACCTTAAATTCAAGATAGCTTTCCAGCATGCGCCGATATTGCTGCCTCGCCCTAGGAGATTCCACCATGGAAAGAACCCTCGAGTAAGCTTGGTCCAGGGCTGCATCTACTTTCTGTTTCCGGAAAACCTTGACAATATCTTCTTCCTCATCTTCGTCCTCGTCCGCAAGAATTGTTTCAGACCTAAAACCTCGAAGACCAACACCCCTCCGACGCCATCTCAGTACAACTTTCTCGAGCACACCAACCGTCCAAAGAAACTCTCTGTACTTCTTCCTCGTCTGATGACCTCTCACATGAGCCTGTGCAGAAGAACAACATAGCATTAAATCTAGTCATATGTCAGCTTCCATTCCTCCTTAAAAAACCAAATATTTGATAGGTTAATCATGCAACTCCTAAAAAATGAAAAAAATTACCTGTATTTTCACAACATGCCGACGTAAGGTTAGGAAATCCTTCCGACCTTTCCAGCCTCTATATTGTTTCTGGATAGATAGAGCTGCTTTGTCAAATTTATGATCCCGATAACCAAGAGTTGCCCTGAGATCCTTAACGAGACCATACAAGTCTTTCGAATTCATTCCATGTTCATCGATCTCTGTATCAGCTGATTCACGCCTCTTCCTAAGCGAATGAGCACGGAAAGCAGCCTGGATTCGAGCTGCGGCTTGAGCGGCATTTCTTACAGCTGCTAAAGTATCTTTAAATGAAAGATCATCTTCTGTTCCATCACCATGGAACTGCGGAGTCCGCTCGGAAATGCTTTCTACAGCCTTTTCAGCCTCGACAGCAGCAGAACCCTTAACAATCTCGCATTCCTCGAAGGTAAGCGAAAAGAGATGACTGGTAAGATCGGCTTCAGAGAGATACCCAGCAAGGCCCTTGTGTCCGCTGGCAGCAGCGATAGCGCCGGCGGTTTTACCGACGGGATCGCGGGGCGTAGGATCTGTAACTGCTCCGGCTAATGCACCAGCTGCGAGCAG